GAGTCTGATAGCACTCTACAGTTTACTCCACTCTTCCAGCCAAGGCATTTTGGACATCTCCCATCTTCATGAAGATGCTCATATGCCAGTGTTTTTCTCTTTCTTTCTCATTATATTGCCCTAGATTTAACATTTTTTCCCACTCATTGAACAGTTTTTATGAAGATTGTCAGTCCGACAGAAAGGTGTTTGGTCAATTAGAGGCTCAAACCCTAACAGAGATAAGCCTTACTTCATAAAAGATGGCCGACATCGCCACTATAAAAACTGTAATAGCAGGTAGAAACAATGCAACACAGGGTTAATCCAACGAGTTGGCCTCATACATATTCTAGTTTTCTAACAAATGATCATATATTGATCAACCTCCCGTTGAGAAATTCTGTATATTTCCTTTTTCTGTGGCAGAATAAACAACACATCAGAGATCTTTTTATACCAACCCAATTATTCCCCAAAGCCTCATCTCACGAAGTGAACGATAAACTTCAGAATCTCATTAATTCAGCACGTTTGGATGCAAAAACTCTCGTATTTAGAAACATAATCAAGCATCACTTCTCAATGAGGGAAAGCAGCAGAGCATTAGACAGGTCGATATTTATGTGGCAGATCAGAAAGGGGTGTAATTGGTTGCAAAAAAAAAATTCACAATTTCTCTCTGGTCATAATTAACCTTTTCTGTTCAACAAATGAGGCAGTGAAGACAAAGATAAAACTCTTTTACAGTCCCAAACCAAGAGACACTACACAGGAAGCTCTCCAGCAGTGTCTTCCTGGAAATTTGTAGAAGAATGCTCAACTTTTATTGGATACAGGGAGAAGAAACTGACATTTTCTTATATGCACTATCTGCCCCAGAGGATGGGAAAAACCAATTCTGAGTTATACTGTTAAAAGAAACAGAGTAAATGTCACCTTGCCCTGACTGGGCAGGTTGGGTAACCACCCGTTTCCCAAGCTGCAGGAGGAGAGGGAAATGGGCTGAGTGCTGTAAAAGCAGGTTGACAGCCCAGGATGAGAGAGGACTCAGTTGAGTGGTTATGTAAATGAAGCAGGAGTCAACTATTATTTTGACAGAGGGAGCCCAGAGCTTAAAGGCTGTCACCGCCTGAACTCTTCAGGAGCGGTTTCATCACTCTCACGAGCCGAGTGGCTGGCAAACAAAACGGTGACCTTTAGATGGACTCGGCTCTGTGATTAACAAAACTGTGACAACAATAGCTCTGCTGAGAAAAGCTGACTAATGTTGCTTCACCAACAACAACACAAGGACAAAAAGCTGGTGGAGTGTCGCAGCTCTCTTGTGTGCTATTCAACGGCTGCAAATGACGAAGCTTCCAGAAAAAACAACAACAGGACAAAAAAGCATCGATAGTTTTCAGTCAGCGGGAGATCATGTGAGAGCGTGCAAGCTAGGCAAGGCGAGAGCAAGGCGACATTGTTTGTGTGTGTGTGTTTCCATGCTAGTGTTAAAAGGTGATTGTGTAGGCTATTGATTGTAGTTTTTGTTAGGTCAAATGTCACAGCGTTGAGACAAACAAACACTGATGTAGAGGCTGTGAAAAGGCTGAGTTGGTGTTTCAGTTGATTCACAGAGGATGATGCCCTTCCACAGGATTTGTTTGCACTTGTTAAAATTAGCACCAATACAAAAAAAGATGGAAAATTAACCAATAGCCTAAATATATGACAAACAACCATGCAAAAATTAAATCCATCTTTGTATCATTTCTGCAAAACAAGAAGAATATCGTATAACCTTTAGGAAGCCCTTATCATACTTTACATGATTATGAAACTGAAGGGGTTAATGTTTTTAGGAGCAGAGTGTTTGTTCAGAACATAGAAGCAGTGACCTTGAGAGAATTGTTTAAAAGTTTTCCAGCAGTGTTAAGAATACTGCAGACTGGAACCAGGATAGCTGTATAGAATTATACTAAAAAATGCAGCCTGAGGAAAACATCTGTCTAGACTCTTTTACTGCTTGTCCCAACACTCGTATATTATCCTGTACAGTCTTTATTAGTTTCAAAAAGGTCAAATGTGTCTCTGTTTTTTGCAGAAAAGGCAGAAAATATTAATGGACGAAGCCATCTGTTCCTGCAGGGGGCTCTGGAGGCTCATTGGCAGCAGCCGCCATGCTGGAAATGCTGTCTCAGTCTAACTTTCAGTCAACCTAACGACAGGCTGAGAGCTGGAGCTGAGGCGGGTTTTAAACCTCCTGACAAACCGTTACACCGCGCCCACCTGTCAATCAGGTCAGCTACACGTCTAACTAAGAAGAACACGTATCATTTTTTAAATTAAAAATGGATGCATCCTGAGAAAATTCACCCCCGTACAGTGTGCCCTTTAATAACTAATCAGACCTACAGTATGTTGTTTTTTTAACCAGGCTGTAAACATGTTAATTTCTTGATTTCAGTCTCAACTCTGTTCTGGCCACATACACCTCTTTTGGCTCTGTAGAGTCGGGACTGTCAGAGGAAAAGGCATTGGGCCAATAAAGGCGAGGGGCACAAACAATAAAACTGTGAAGCAGCTCAAAGGCAGAAATTGATCTTCTGGCCCTCTGATAAATCTCTGACCCAGAATCCACCTACAGACTCAGCAAAGGGCCAACAGTGATGGAGAAGGAGGCTAAGGAGTCATGACGTTGGAGATTGTGTTGGTTAAAGATTCATAACTTCAACTTGAAGCAATATGAGGGAACGGGGCGGGGGGGTCGATGGGCTTTTTGAGTGTAAGTGCACACTCTCAGAGCACTCACCTAACCAACAGATTTACCTGACATTTATTATGAATGGGATGGAGACTGCAACGCTTCTAGGTGAGCATTAATTCTGCAACTCCCTATAGACTCAAATCAAAATGTTTTTACTTTAAAGTAGCAATATGTAACTGTGACATGTAACATTTAAAATGGGTACTGCAGTCTACATTCTAAACATCAGAGAGCTGCCCCCCCCCCTCTCTAGAGTGGATGCTCACTCAGGTCACCATGTGGTGGACTCTGAAGCTTCAGTGTTTATCCAGCTCTGCATGGGTCTGTAAACCTTTCTGTGTTCTAACCTCTCTCCATTTTTCAAAAGCATCTCCAATATTGATCCTAGTTTGAGCACGTTTCTGCTCGTGGAGCTTATTAGAAACATGCAGAGGCTTTTTAGGTCGGGTACAATCACTTCTATCTGAACCACTTCTCTTGACCGCTTCCATCACTGCAACACCTGTTGACCTGATAACTGCTCTCATATCTGACAAACTGAGGGGCGTCCAAAACGGTCGTGTGGGGGGGTGTCTTAAAAGCACCTACCTTCTCTGGTCCAAACAAATCCAGAGCATTCAGGAGCAGAATCTAAAGTTAGAAGGAGGACATACTGGCTGCTGCAATGTTGTCAGAGAAGCCAGCACTTCAACATAACATGTTTCCTTAATGATCAGAGAGTAAGATACCTTTATTATCTCACTCTCTACACATCTCACTGGTTGCTCTTTTAAGAATACTTGAAGCCATTGACATTAAATAGTACATTATTTTATATGAACCTGTGAAAGATCCAAACATGTCTTGTATGAATAAATGAACTATAGCAGAGGTCTGAGCCATGTTATGAATATTGGAATATAACAGTGAGGACAAAAATCTAACCCCCCCGGAAAGTGGACAAATAAACACAGAAATGGGAAGTTTAGAGATGATCATTTAAGTGTTAGGTTCACCTGGAGGGATTAAAATGTTGATGAGAATAACTTTTTAAGTGTTGGTTAAATCATTTTTCCTTTTTCAGTTTGAAATCTCAGCAGTGCAACAGTTTGCCAAGTGTCTGTTGAAAAGGGGATTGGAAATGATAGCACAATGGTTATGGTTCATTTGGAAGAGAAACATGTCCTGATCTTGTAAATCACAATGTGGACTGTCAAATATAAGGAGGCCATCCATGGTGTCATGTGTGATGACAGAGAGCTGAGAAGAAGCCGTGACTTAACATTCGTGAGGTTTCTAACAGACTGTGTGTATAACACCATCTGCTCTGCGAGTCAGCTCACATCACACACAAAGCAGCTGCAGCGTGCTGACTGGTAATAGATTTTCATTTGCAAATAAAATGGGGGCAAACTTTTTTTATTTGCACTTGTGGGGATTAACTCGGATCACTAATGAAGGCAGGACTTTGTTTGGAGGCTTTTTCAGTTCAGTGAACTGGATGTTGTCTGCTTTAGCCAGCTCTTAAGAAACAGCTTAATCATCCGTGCACAAGACATCCACAACCATTTCTGAAAGTAGGGGTACTATGGCATTCTTGATTCACTGCTACACAAACTGTTATAAGTGCACAAAGTGGCCAACATACATTGTTGGGATGAGCTTTAGTGTCCTTTAGATTTTTATCCCCAGGATTCGATCTGCAGAGTCCCTCTGCACCTTTAAGAAAAAGCTAAAGACCCAGCTCTTTCATGAATACCTACTAACTTAATGATGATGGTCTCCATATTATTGATGATGATGATGGTAATGACGATGGTTTTTGTTTGATAACGATGACTTATAAGATGGTTTCTATACTGATTAGAGCTCTCAAGAACTGCCCTCAATGTTGTGCTTTGCCTCTGGTCACTTCCTGTCAGCACCTGTGTGTCCAATCAGACTCAAAGCTGATCGTTTGCTCTTACTCACATTGTTCCCTTTTTTCTAGATCCTTGCTTGTGTTGTTCTTACTCTCTGATGTACGTCGCTTTGGAGAAAAGAGTCTGCTGAGTGAATTGTAGAATTGTAGTAGGAAGTTGACATTAAACCTTCTTTTCTAGGTACCACGAGCAGGCCTGATAACTGAAGGCTCTACCTCCCATAGCACATTTTTATAGACTACAGGTACCACAAGATCCCCACAACCAACCAGACATGTGAATTAGTCATCAAAGGAATTGACAAAAATATAGATAAGATTACTTTATAAAATGACTCATTAAGACTGTAAAATGCACAATGCGAGACAAGCTGTGGTGATATACTAATTTATTATATGAGTATTGTACTGGGGATGGATGGAAAACCCTAAAGTGGTTGCTGGCTTCTGTGTGTGGTGTTTTCTTGTTTGTTTGTTGCTATTTTTTTTCTCTCTATTACCAAAAAAAATATGACTTTCATCCACTGGGCAAACAATAAAGTTATCATTTTACTTTTTAAATCTCTCCAGCTTTGAAAACATTATAAAAATGATGTATTGATGGTCTGTAGGTAATACATTATTTATTTGATAAATTAATAACCATTTTTTTCCAATCACAGCATGAAGCTTTTCAGACATTCAATTAACTCCTTTCCAAATACCTAAACGTTCCTCTGCTCTTTGCATCGTCTCCCTCTCACTTAGCGCCCCAGCAGGTCAAGACAAACCCATCCAGTGTGTGCACACGCTGTTTGACCCTGATGTACTGCAGCATCAATATGTTAAGTCCATTGTCTTTATGCTTCAGAGCCTCTGTAGTCAGCGCTATTAGCATCAGGGGGGTAATTGTACAACGGGTTGGTGAAGGACAGCTTGGCATCTCTCCAGGTCGACGCCTGCTGTGGACGAATAAACACACAAAGGGACATACATCAAGTCACCGACTTCTGCACAGATAGTTAGAGAAAAGACCCCACAGGGCCGAGAAGAAGCAACCTTACCTCCACCTCCCTCCCCCAGGGGTAGACACTGATTGAAAGCCCACGACCATCACTCCTGCTGGGGTCAACTCTGGGACAACAGCATGACCTCACAGGCTGGGGGGAAAGAAGATAATGTACACCGGGTTTAAAAACAGATTTAATATGTGAGAGCGCATGAAACGCAGACGCAATTAAAATCTAATTGACCCGTTTAAAGGTCCATAATTACACCTTTAACCTCCTTCAAACATCTCACCACACACTGTTCTCACTGCTGCTTACACACATGTTGAAACCTTTGTGAGTGCACTTAGACATTTTTAGAAACAGACACAATCTTTTCTTAGTCTGTAGCAGTCCTCCATTGTTCTGTTATTGTCTCTTCCTACCCTATATGTCCCTCTGTGTGTAAATCTACACACACACACACACACACACACACACACACACACACACACACACACACACACACACACACACACACACACACACACACACACACACACACACACACACACACACACACACACACACACACACACTCACACTCAGAGAGCCACAAAATCAATAAATCCTAAATCAAAAATCTAATCAAGCAGAAAGGCTTCACCATCACCTCCTGACCTCCTCTGATGTTACATCCACTTATCGAATACATGTGGTGGAAAAATGAGTTTGTATAGCTGAGAAATCTGATGTTGTCCTGAAAAGAAATTGCTGATGATTGATTGGATGTTTTTTCATGCGCTGACCTCTGCTCTGCAGCCATTGGCCAGGTCATCCATCACGCCGTAGTCCATCAGTTTGTGCTTTCTGTGGGGAAAAAAAAAAGACAATCCTCATGACTTACACGATACTCCTGCAGCATGACGATGTCTTCACTGGGACTGAGAACTCACATGATATGGCGTTTCTTTTTTGCGTATAAGGCCAGGACACAGACGGCCACTCCGGCGGCGAGCAGCAGCAGTCCGATGCCGACGCCGACATACACAGCTACTAAAGAAGAAGGGAGGACGTTTTGGATTCTTGCTTAGAGAAGTACCTTTAATTAACTGCAGAGACATTAAAGGGGCATGCGAGGATAAATCGAGGTGAGACAGTTTAATAGAGACGGGCAGAGAGGTGCGTTTGTTTATTACCCAGCTGTGTGTCCTCTGGTTCGGGTGACGCTGTGGAGAGACCTGGTTTCTGCCTCACATGGCAACGGTTGCCAGTCCACCCTGGATCACACCTGTGGACAGATTTCATTAACAGTTTGAGCTGTGATGGTGGTACAACAGGCTTCAGACTAGATCATCACTACATAAGTCCTGGACTTTTGTTAAATATAGATAGATAGATAGATAGATAGATAGATAGATAGATAGATAGATAGATAGATACTTTATTGATCCTGAGGGAAATTCAAAGCATCCAGTATCAGGTTACAAAGACATGACATGAAACATTTGTTACACATTAACCACAAAATCGACGCCCCCCCCTCCCATACATATATATTAACCTGAAAAAAAGATTTAAAGAATCCCTCTAGATGAATCAAACTTAAACTGTGCAATTAAAAATAGACTTATACAAGAAATGTACATAACCCGTGCAGGGATAAAAATATATGTGAGATTTAAAGCAAGAACCTAAAAACAGTTGAGGAAAAAAATCTGTAATTAGACCTGAATATAAAAAATAAAAAAGTGTTGACCTTCTGAAGTTGTGTTGTTTTTATATGTACAGCAATGTTTAAAAAAGTATCTAAAAACAGACATTAAATAACAGGCAGTGCAAACATTAAAGGTGCGATTTAAATAATTGTGAGAATATCGGACCGTCTGCATTTGGAGAGAAAGTCAGGGGTCACCACATTCAAACTTTCAGTTAAGCAAACAAATCAGTTTATGTCTGTGGAGGTTCTGATTCATCCAGGTCAGGGTAAATTCAAAGCTTGAACTGGACTGGTTGAAGATCTTGAAGATGGCTTCTTCAGTTCTAAAGGTGCCAGCTCTGTCGGCCAGAAAGTTTAGAGAGGTGAAACGTCTGCAAGATCTTCAACCAGTCCATTTGTCTTTGGAGCAAGCTTTGAATTCACCTTAATCCATTTGTTCTAGCTAAATATTTCACTTATTTAAAAGCGTTGCTTCAACTTTTCTTGAATTACTGCTATAGCTAATTCAACCTCAAGCATTACCTCTCTCTTAGTATTCAAAGACATCTAACTGACTTTTGTCAACAATTTATTCACCACTCCTGGGTCATTTTTTGCAGCCACCGTTTATTTATTTTAGCAATATTTTTTATTGAAGGTCAAATAAAAGACAAAGTGTACACTTATGTCAGAAGGAATAGTTCCTTATTTTTATCTTCTTAGCAAGCAACAAATCCCATCATCTGTTCATCTCCACAAGGGAAAAATTCAATAAATAATCAAAGATTTAAAGAACACAAGTCATATCTCTCTTCCCCCTGCGAGTGTGAATGTTTGACATCCAGCATGGGAACAGACTAACAGCAGTTTGGCCCTGAAGTTCATCTTCTTCTTCCAAACGGAGACTCTGCTCCAAGTCGACATCTGCTCAGCATCAGCTTGATTTCTGAGTAACATTGACCTTGTAATGCGAAACACTCACACCGCTCTCTGCAAACCAGGCTGTGTCATTATCATTCAGAGGGGCTCGGGGTATATATTGTGTGACGGTCTGGTTGGGCAGTAGGAGGTCCCTGGCCCGGTGTGGAGGAACGTGCTGCACATACTGAGCCAGAGATGCCCTCCAACGCTGGCCTCTGGTGCTGTTACAGCAGGGCCGCTATCGATGCTGGAACAGCTACAGGAGCTGCAGTTAAGTCCTGTTACATAATGAGAGGAGGCAGCGGCGGCGGTGGCATGGCGTTGGGGAATGTCGGACAGGGAGATGAAGATGGGGGAATCAAATACAAAGCATACGAGTTGGTGAATGATGGAGAGACAAACAGGAGTGATGTATCTTCACATGCAGCTGATTCCAGATTTATGTTTTTTTATGCACTCCTGAAGATTTCTAGAAAACGTGAGCAGGCTGTTCCAGAAATCTTCTTGAGTTGTTTGTTCACATAACTCCCTCACAGCAGGTGACTGTTCCTGTTGGGCGGGGGGGATCTCAGGAGGCGTTCCTTTGGCAGACGAAGCAACAGAGTCTAACACGATGATGACAGTTTGTTGCTATAAAATATTCATGTTGTCAACAAAAGATCTCAGAGGAACACACTAGAAGTTTCACAACATGAACAGAGATCGCACCGATCACGCCCTACACAGTCATCAACCCCCCTCCCCCACTCACTCAGTGAAGTTTTCAGAATATTTCCTGCTGCGTTCTCACATCGGCTTACCCTACCTGTACGTGGAAAATGTACAAAGAAACGACAGGGAGAATTCTGGGTAAAGTCTAAGAGAAAAAAACATGTCCGTCTGTCTTCACACTTTCAGCTCAATCCGAAAATGTCAGGAATTTTTCAGGAGTTTTGTGCATGTGTGAAAGCTCCATATCGCAGCAATAACTGAAAGCATAATCAGTGTAAGGTCAAGGGTGGCTTAATGAACTGAAGGCAATGTTAAATATAAAATTCTAACATCTGATCCCAAGTTTAGGACTTTAGGGGTGGCCAATCAGATTTCAAAGAGGCCCCATGCCACCCCTCTGGACACGCCCCTGCTTCACATTTCACTATTCACATCCAGTTTGTGCAAAAAGCAACCAGCTGACACAAATATGAAGAAAATGTAAATCTTTCATTAAGGAGTCAGAGGAGCATATCGATGTTAGCAGATCCAGCAGAAAGTCTCATCACTGCATTCTTACTTTTTATAATGAAATATCTCGTTGCAGTTATTCCAAGCTGCTGATGCAGAGAACTAGATTCATGAGCTTCCTGAAAGAAAAAAAACTCCAACAGAGTGATCACAGTATGTGGTTTGATTAACTTTATGTTTATGCCATTGTGACAGCATCTCTGCAGTTTTTATCTGCTGCATCGGTTTCTGTGGTTAACCCAGTGGGAGCACTGGGAGCAGCGTGGGGTCGTGTGTAAATATTGACCAGGAGAAATCCATGAGGACACATTGTGCTGGTGGATAAATGAAGGCAGACGCACCCTGGTGAAGCTGTGGGGGATAAGCAGAGTCCCACATGCTTCACAGATCATGTCTTTTGCAGGAGGGGGAATAAAAAGAAGACTGAAGGGATTTCCATGTTTTAAAGTCCTGCAAAGGAAAGATAAAGGACGAGAGGAGGAGTGAAAAGAGGAGACATGATGTGTATCTCTGTTTGGAAGAACAACCTTCCTGAGGGTCTGAGAGGAGCCCAGAATATCGAGATTTTTAAACGTAGTCTTAAAACTCATTTATTCAGTCTGGCTTTTATAGTGTTTTATATACAATTGTATGGTCTTTTTTATCCTACTACAATTTTAAATATTCTTCTCCTATGTATTAATTTTAATATCTTATTGCTTTTATGTGTCATATTTTACTTTTTCATTTATATATATAAATTTATTTTAATTCTTTTTGGTATGCATTGGTCTCTCAATGATTTTATAAACTTATATATATACTATACTATATAAACTTTTCTGCACTTTGAACTGCAATTGAATTTGTCTGAAAGGTGCTATATAAATAAAGTTTGATTGATTGATTGATTGTGCAGTCTTAAGGGTGTGTAGGTGTGTGTGTTTGTTAACTCACATGCAAACAGGCCCGTGTTTCCTCACCAGGCATGAGCCACGATTCAGGCAAAACAGGGGAGGACAATCTGCAAATCACAAAAAATAAACTGTTGATTGTGTCATACAGCACAGATCCTCTGAGTTTGGCAAATCAGCCGTCTCTATCAGAGCTACAACATTTCTGGAACTCCATACCGGCTAAAATCAGAGAGTGCCGTAGCTTTGCTGAATTTAAATTTAAAATCAAATCATGTCCTCATCACACAAAAACACTTTGTCATGAACTCTGTTTGATAATGTTGTCGTGTATTGATACAGTATGTGACTATGGCTATGTTGTTGTGGTGTATTGGAGATATATGTTGCGGTATAGCTCTTTGTTTTTTTTAGTGTAGTTTTTAAAGTTAAGTGCTCTTAGCCTGTTATTGTTTGAATATAATGTGTGAATTTCACTGTGGACGAGTGTCATGCTATTGTTCAGTGGTTGTGAAGATGTTGTTAATGTAAAATAATAAATTAAATAAATAAATAATTAAATAAATAAATAAATAAATAAATAAATAAATAATAATGTATGACACACAAAAGATGAAACGGTCCAAATCTTTTTCTCAAACCTCTTCACCTCCGTTCTCCGTTCCTCTGACAGAAAACAGATGCACACTGAAGAACGCTGCCTTGACATCAGAACATAAAATCTGTGCATTACGTTTGCTGGTCGGGGAAAACGCTGCACTATCGAGCATCATCCATTAACGTCTGCAGAGAATGTCTGCATGTGCATTTAGCCAGCTATAGAGCATCTGATGAATAATACGCCGGCTGCCTCAGGTTGTGTGAGGGGTTATCAGGGCGGCCTTTTTAAATAATCATCATGTTTGAAACACCATTATGAAACCCTCATGTTGATGAAGTGACTTCGGCAGTAAAACGCCGGCTAAATGTGGAGTTTGGTCCTTCCTCCTGAGCACGCAGGAAAGCGGGGCTTTTAATGGATCTTGGCAGCTCACAGGAACCTTTGAGGTGTGCTTTGAAGACTAAAACAGGCAGACATGTCCTGGGAGTCACTGCTGCGAACGAGCAGACATGGAGGTGGACTTGGCAACACTTGAGTCAAAGGTGACGAGGAACTCATGAGAGATATTGGATGGATGTATTTATAAATACATGCAGAGAAATGTATGAAACAGTTAAAGAACTGAACACCTGGCGGGCAAGAAAGGAAATCCAACTGTGCAGAGGAAGAGGATCACTGCGTCTCTAAAATTAGAATATAAGCTTCAAGGTCTGGGAATCATCAAGTGGTTAATGGCAGGAAGCTGAAAGGGAGATGGTGGGTAAAAAGGTGTTACCATGGCAGCTGGACTCATCGGAGTGAAACGGCAGACAGTCAGCAGAGTGGTCACAACGCTTCTGAAGAGGGATACAACCAGACGAACCTTCACACACCAGTTCCCCCAGCTCACACTGCAGCAGAGCTGGAAACAGAAAACGATGGAGAATGAAAAACAGGCTGTTTTAGAGGTGTGTTCACAGATCTCTATGAACAAACCACACGGGATAGAGAACTGAAATTCTCTCAAATCCTCATTGGACCAAAGGTTGGCAAAATTTCAGTTTGAAAGAACACAGTTCACAAAGTTCAGAGTATTGCTACAAGCCAGAAAAAAGGATTGCTAAACCATGGACTGAAAAAATGAATGGATGAAGTCTGAATGACTCTGACCACAAACAGGACCACTTACAGCAGCTGTACTCGTCCTCTCCGTCGGGACAGTCCGGCACGCCGTCACAGCGCAGGATGGAAGGGAGGCAGGTATTATTCAAACACTGGAAATATCCAACAGGGCAGCGATCCTGAGGAGGAAGAGTACCGGGCTCCAGGGTGGGACAGAACTCTTCATCGGAGCGGTCAGCACAGTCCGGCTCTCCGTCACACCTCCAGCTCTCAGGGATGCACTGAAAGGAGTACAAGCAGCGGTACTGGTCCACAGCGCAGGTCAGAGGCCGGGGGGTAACGGGTCCTGAGTGACACAGAGCAAAGAGAGGGACATGATAACACATGTTTTATTTTTGTATTTAACCAGGTAAAGAACCCATTGAGATCAGGATCTCTTTCACAAAGGGTGACCTGGCCAAGAGGGCAGCAGCACACATCATAAAAAAAACATTACATGATAAAGAGACAAATAATAAGTTAGGAGAGAAGAACAATTTACAATGTGCAAATTGATTCACAGATAAAGTGCAGAATCTTGATCACAGATTACAATTCAGAAACACATCAGGCACTGTCCCATTGTCTCGTGTTTTTATGTCTTTTAAGATCGAGACAAAGGCTTCAAGCCAAATGAGATCCGCCAGAAAGTTCCATGCGGTGTGAGCAGCAAAACGAAACGCTCTTTTCCCCGAGCTCCGTGCGGACACGAGGAACAGACCGTTTAAAGACATCACAGGAACACAAGGCGTAGTCACTTCTGGTTCTTTGAAGGTATGAACATAAATAAGAAGGCACCAAACCAAGAAGAGCTTTATAGATGAGCTTCAGACAGTGTACACCTTCAAAGATGGCCAATGTGATCTGTCTGATGTGTGCTTAATTCACCTGAAGTCCCCTTCCATCATTAAAAAATATCATACAGTACAGCGCAACAATTCAACTCTGCAAGCCTAAAATATGCACCAAGTACCCAATTCATTGATCATTTATCAACATATTCAGACTCATGGTGGAGTCAGAAAGCTCAGAGTTTGGTTTTAGGACACAGAGAGGTACACTGACGGTCTGTCGGACATATCGAGCGCTGGCTCTCTGGAAACTCAGCCCGAGGTGAAAGGAAGCCGGCAGGGTGGAAGTGAGGAAACAACAAAGTATAAATGTAATTGCTTTCAGCCCCCTGTTGCCCTCTATGCAGTCCCCGAGCGCTCATCCAGTCTCAGCAGTGAATTCATACAGACCTGCAGGGCAACAGGCTCCATTAACTCCCTACACGCCCCCTGAGGGTCAGCACAGTTCATATGGAAACGGAGCGCAGGAGCGAAGATATTAGAGCACAGAAAAATGTGGAAAAAGAGGAAACTGGAGAAGGTGAAAATTGCAAGAAAAGTCATGAGGAATGATTCCAGAGCTCAAAGGACAGGAAGCGAGGAAAATAAAGAAACCAAACAGACGAGAAAGGGAACAATGGGGCTCTACCTCCTTCCATACAGTCTGCAGTGTAGGAAATGTCATCCAAGGCGATGTCTGTCCACATGTCACCCCCCGCCTCCGCCTGGAAGGTCACTTTGAAAGGTGCTGGGTTGGAAAGTATGACATTAGCGTATTTCCAGTGGCTACGATGGTTTCCAGTGGCTACCCACATGAGTAGTCTGGTTCCACTGGGTCCAACAGTGTAGATCTGGTGAGCAGGAAAACAGACAGGACAGTTTTTCGATCAGATAAGGTGTTTGTTTTGGCGGGAAATACCTGCAAATAAACAGCTAATGATACCAGGGGCTAACTTCACTGTTAGCATGTTCGCATGCTGACTTGACGTGTAGCTAAATGCTAAGCTAAACAGCCTTACAGAGCTCCTCCTCCTCCTCCTCATTGGTTGTTAATGTTCCCCTGCACTGCTCAGATGTGATTTGTATAAAATCATTAAGAAAGGAAGGGACTTGTTGTGGTTATGGATTTGCATTAGCTCAAGATTAGAAAACTTTATTAATCCTCAGCAGGGAAACTCATTTGCCACTTAGTCGATTCACACACACACAAAAAACACACAGAATAATCACAATACACAACAAGTAAATAAATAAACACCACTGAGACCATTTGAGAAATGATTTACAGACATGAATCAGAGCTACAACTAAAAAGAGTTATTCAAATATCTGACTGTTGCTGGAACAAAGGACTTCCCGAGTCGTTCAGTAAAACAGGCATCACTAGTCGAGAACTGATGGAGTGAGGATTAGTCTTCACATTTTTGTCTTTCTCTCAGGAAATGCCAAACTCGTGGATGTTTTAAAAAATCCCCTGGTCATTGTTTTACTGTCCGGTCAGAAAAGCACTTCTGCCTTTTCCCTTTTTCAGCTCATTTGTGAATATCTCGTCTGAAGCTACATGTGAGCCATCCTTTCCCTTTCCCCTTCACTTGAAATCAAACTCAGATTAGTTGATTTATTTTTACATTTGCTGATTGTTTATTGCCTTGAAATTAATAAAAGACGCCTAAAAAAAGACATAAAAGATGGAAATGATAATCAAGTGTGCGAGGTGTCACTCTTTGATCGATCATTTCCTGGCAGGCGGGCGCTTTGATTCCTCCCTGTGGATGTGAGCTGACTGACAGTAAGCAGTTTTTAATGTAGTGAGAGGACCAAATTAAGCCTTCAGGTGGACTGTGATGGATCATCTGACAACCAAATGACAATAAACAACAAACATGTTTGAGACACAAAGGAAGACTTGGAATTATTTATGGAAATGTGGCACTCAGATTGAATCACCTTGAGCGTTCCCATCCTGTCGGAGCCGTGCATGTAGAACCAGAAGCGAAGGCGACACAGGCCGATGCTCGCCGGGAAGGGGCTCGTGGTTGTGAGCTTGGCGACGTCGCCCTCCCTCTCAGTGGCTGAATGTATGTACAGAAACTTTCCCCAAACTCCTTTAAAGAAAAAGAATAGAATGATTGACTTTAATGTAAAAGTATGAGTAACATATGGGCAGGAGTAACTTCCTTCTCATGCTTCAGATAAACATCATATTTGGATAAGAAGCAAATAGCTGCAGAGCTCCTTCAACTCTGCCAGGCTCGGAGATAAGATGATATCTATGGAAGCCCATTCCAACCAGTTAAAGAAATAAAAATTGAAAATTTGGTGAGATTTTTTTTGACCATAAAAAGTAAAAATGATGGGCCGCTGGTGGCTCAGTGGTTAGTGCGCGCGCCCCGTGTATGGAGGCTATAGTCCTCCAAGCGGGCGGCCCAGGTTTGAATCCAGCCTGTGGCTCCTTTTCTGTATGTCAATCCCTACTCTCTCTCTCTCCCTGATTTCCAACTCTATCCGCTGTCTCAATTAAAGGCACAAAAGCCCAAAAATAAATCTTTAAAAAGTCGAAATGATGAGATGAAGATCAAAATGTTCTCTTTGTTTATCGTGTCCCTTACTCAAGTGGTTTATTCTGTGTCTGCTCCAGGTGCCTGTATGTACATTCCTTGAATGTAGTCTTCAATGTGACCGCGATGCATCCTTGTATGTCATTATTGTGACTTTATTATCTCATAATTTCGAGATAAAAAATTAAAAAAATATCTCAACAAAGCCAAGTTTTCATATTTATTTATGTCAACTCTGATATCATCTCCCCCTGACACCAAATTCAAATCAAAACTGAGTGTGTGCATTGATCAGCCTGAGTAGAAGACATCTTGTTTTGAGGCAGCAGTTTCAGTACACAAGATAAACAACAAGTCCAATGTTGTTAAGCTCAGTTTGACTCGGGCTGACACTGATCAGGAAGTGTTATTAACCCCGCCTTCACATGCCTGTCGGAAGCTCCAATTTCCCGCTGTCAAGTTGTAATTACAAAAGCTCTGCAAACATGGAGGATGTCAGAAGGAACCACAAGTTGTTTGTTCTTCAGTTAGGAAAGGTTTTGTTTTTTGTTTTTTTTACCAGGACTATTAATCTAGAAACAAGACAAAAACACACGCGAGGAATTTAAAAACATAAACAAAACATTAACGTGAATGTTTGTGTTGGGAAGTGCTGGTTTTGTCCCGATGAAGGGGTCAAAGGTCAATAAATCTCACAAACGTGTGAATCAAAATGATATCTAAATGTATGACTTGTTATTTGAAGCCGCTTTGATTTCGAGGAGTCGTTGTCTCTGAGTGTGACTTCTGAGTGTCGGGGTTTATAGAGGGGGGGTCAGGTACTGACCTTCTAGACTGTGGTCATCTGGAGGTCCAGCTCCTGGGGTCTCACTCCGACGACCGATCCTCCAATCAAAGTCATCATCCGTGTCCTGAGAGAGCTGGCAGGTGTCCTCCCACTGACTGTCATCCATGTTGAAATCACAAGCACCCCATGTGTGAGCTATGAGAGAGAGAGAGAGAGAGAGAGAGAGAGAGAGAGAGAGAGAGAGAGAGAGAGAGAGAGAGAGAGAGAAATCTGAGTTGTAAGTTCTTTCTCTATAAATAAATAAATATATATTGAGTGACTCCCAGTTAAAAAGGAAAGCTGATTCTCTCCTCACCGCAGCCCCGCTCGTCTGACGCATCAGCGCAGTCGACCCTGCGGTCGCACACCAGGTGGGACTCGATGCACTGCCCGCTGTGACACACAAAGTCTGTGACTGCAGGGCAGCTGACTGAATCCACAGCATCTACACACACACACACACACACACACACACACACACACACACACACATCTTTTTTAAGACTGACCCACCAACCGGAAAGTTTCTCTCCTTCTTGAATCAAATCAAGTAAAATGACATGTTTGATTCTTTCTGTTCTTTGTAGCTGAAGACACAAGCGGCAGAGAAGAAGGTAAACAAAATCAGACGGAGGCCTGTCAGGGAAATCAAAGAATCCTCCCTCCAGCTCTGTTTGAGACTGAACAGAGAGGAAGGAAACAGCACACGTGGAACGACATCATCAGAGTGTTGTCTCTGTGAAACTTCAAATACAGAGACATCACATTTTGTCTCGAATAAGCAAAGAGTTTCATTTCTCTCCTGGTTAATACCATCACAGCTATTTTCAGAGGAGATATTTGATTTTTACATTTAAGTGTGAAAAATCACATATAAAGCCTTTAAGCTCGATGGAAATCATGTGAAATTTTCATCTAGTTCTGAGCAGACTGCTGCTCAGAAACATCCTCATCTCTTCTCCTGGTCTGTAGGTCAGTTGTGGTTTTGTCTCTGTGTGTTAAAAGTATTTATTTCTGGATGTCGAGAGGGGAAACCTCCCACACGGTGTCCGGCCTGATGTGGAACATCTGTTTCACACGCCGAAAATCAAACTCCTCTCGCTCCATTTCTCCTTTTCTTTGTCGTGTTCCGGTGGGAGAATCGATTTCAAACGCACCGACTATCAGTCGCAGAGATCGTAAAATAATTTCACAGCACATTTATTACTCTCAGGTGAATATTGTTGGATATCTTTGATGAAATGAGGACGAAGGGGAGCATTAGAGACTTTTAATGTCTTTAAATCCTCATTATGAGCAACAATAAAAGTGTTTTTAGTTTAATTTTGCGGGCCGCTCTCAGCTGTAATCACTCATTCAGATGCTTCCTCTCGATGAGTAATGAGGATGTAACCTTGGATTTTGGAGGCTGGCATTAATCCCATGTTTGCTTTTGACACTCATCAATCTGATCTTCTTGCATTTACAAAGACAGGAGATTCAAAGGTTTATCCATCCTTCAAATATTCTTGACTTTAATCAAAAAATTGAACAACGACTTGTTTGTTTGAAAAGCTGAACACATTTTGTAAAGCACGAACATAATGATATGAAATGATGACAGTCCTGATGAAATCAAAACATCTTTTGAATCCAAGAAGTCAGACGTCTGAGTTGAGCTTCCTCTGCACAAAGTGACCAAAGTGTGATTACAGATGTTTCCCAGGAAACCAGTGACTGTAATGACTTTTCCAGGTGTTGAGAATTTTAAGCAATAAAAAAACCCTTCCTCTCAGGTTGCTCCATTTTCTTAGAGTAAAACTTTAACAAGTTTCCGATCTTTACTCCTCACCAGCTTGTATTTTTAACACCTGACAGATGAAAGAGTTACAGTTATTAAATCACAATTCATAAATCTCAGACATAACTCTGAAGAAATAAATCCTTTTGATGGAAGAAATGGCGACGTACAAAGTTTAAAAAAGCAAACAAAAACGATGGGTTCAGGCTGGAAGTAGCTCTGTTGTAACCTACTTCAGTGAAGGAAATGCTGCTGACAACCAACAAAAAGGGGTGCTAAGGAGGAAACTTTGCCAACCACCTTGTGTGATCAGTGCAGTTCACAGATCTGTGGATTGATACATGGAGGATTTGCAGTAAAAATTAAAGTGTCCCAATTTGGAGGTTTGAAAATATGGCCACCCTACAGTAGTAGTTTCTGTTGAGGCTGGCAAGTGCCAACATCTTTTTTAAATATGTTCTTTTGGGTCTTAAGTCTTGCACAGTTGATATCACCTACTTGGGGCACAGTCAATGAACTCCAGGTCATCCAGCGCAGCTCCTCCACTCACATCCATCGAGCGAATCCCCTCGATAATCACCTCAAAGTTCCTCAGCTTCCTCAGAGGGATCTCTGCTCGGTTCCACTTGTTCCCGTGATTCCCCGTTTTGTTCCACACCTCCCACAGATCGTTCTCCGTCTGTGGAAACAGAGCAGCGCTGACCAAAGAGTCCCTCTGCACCTTTAAGAAAAAGCTAAAGACCCAGCTCCTTCATGAATACCTACTAACTTAATGATGATGGTCTCCATATTATTGATGATGATGATGGTGATGATGATGGTTTTTGTTTGATAAGGACGACTTATAAGATGGTTTCTATACTGATTAGAGCTCTCAAGAACTGCCCTCAATGTTGTGCTTTGCCTCTGGTCACTTCCTGTCAGCACCTGTGTGTCCAATCAGACTCAAAGCTGATCGTTGCTCTTACTCACATTGTTCCCTTTTTTCTAGATCCTTGCTTGTGTGTTCTTACTCTCTGATGTACGTCCTTTGGATAAAAGAGTCTGCTCAGTGAATTGTAGAATTGTAATAATGTTTCAAAGAGCCTCACAGTGAAGTGAAAGCTGTGAGAAATCTGAGTCAAACACTGAGTAAGTAAAAAGTGATGAAGTCAAAATGAGCTGGAATTAACTCTTGGACAGAGCAGCGCTGCAGAGAATCAGAGAGTGTCATTAAAGAGGAGTCGTTAAAGTCTCATTAGTATATCATCGTCATAATAAGTTCCCCCGTTTGCAGATCTACCATCCAAAATGGACCCGTGCTTTTCCTGAGTTATGCTAATGGTTTTCTCTCATGCCACATGTGGAACATATTAGAACACAGACCGGAGAGTATTCCTCTGTAAGCCTCATCTGTCTCTTCCCATGCACCTCACAGGCACTAAATCACGATTTACACAGTGTCGAAACAACAAATGGGACTTTGAAAAGGGATTTTTATGAGCAAGCATCCACCGGCGGTTTTTTAATGTTGTGTCAGAGCATGAAGAGACTTTTACAAAGTCATATCATCATATTAAAGATACGCTCTTTTGATTTTCAAGAATTGAGACACTTTGTGCAGAATATTGGTGAAGATGTAGAAGTTGTTAGCGTCCTTTATTTTGAAATGTTTACAATACCACAGAGTTTTCAAACTGTGATAAATTCACAGTAGCAATGACTCAACTAAGAACACTGAATTTGAGAGAAAATGGTTCAAAGGGAAAGAAGTGCAACACGAAAAGACAAACTCAGACAAATCCATTCAAAGAAGGATGAAAGGAAATAAAAGAATTGAGCCTCGTAGACATCGTGACAATGATATCAGCCTCTCTGCAGCTCCAGCTCGGCTTAAACAGGAACACGCAGGAAGAATGACAAGCATTCTACTAAAGGTAAAGACATCAGATAATCTTGTTTTTAATCATTATTTAAAAGATCCATGTTAAAAAGAGCAACCAGTGAGATGTGTAGAGAGTGAGATGATAAAGGTATTACTATCTGATCATTAAGGAAACATGCTATGTTGAAGTGCTGGCTTCTCTGACAACAATGCAGCAGCCAGTATGTCCTCCTTCTAACTTTAGATTCTGCGCAGTTATCAGGTCAACAGGTGTTGCAGCGATGGAAGCGGGCAAGAGAAGTGGTTCAGATAGAAGAGAGACAGCTCAGAAGATTCAGAATCTGGGTTTATTGCAAGTACATTTACACATACAAGGAATTTGACTTGGTGTATTGGTGCTAAACAATTAACAAGAAACTAAACAATGTAATGAGGCTAGAGTCCTTGTCTCTTTGCTGCATGTCATCCTCCCCTTCTCCTCCCATCATGTTCTGTCTCATCTCATAAAAAGGCCAGAAAACCTTAAGTTTGAAGTCAGTAAGGAGAACTTCTGCCTGGTTCACAACTCAGTGTTTAACATAAGGATCTAGAGAGTTAACACCCGTTCTGCAGAAGTTCATGATGTGATATTAAGACTGCCTTTGCTCCGCAGTAATCCATAACGGCTTCCTCGTCCTCTGGACTCCTTAAAGGTGACTGCAGGTCCATAATATCACGTCATTAATTCAGCCCCTTGTCTCGATGAGAATCAGTCTCAGAACAGTCAAACTTTCAAGACTTTGCAGGTGAACAAAGCACACAGTGTGTGCGCCAAAGACATCAACTTACTGTACTCCAAGTTGCATGATATGGCCAGAGGCTCGACTGCAGTAAAAGAGACCTACTCAAAAGCAGAGGACGAGCAATGTCACACTCCACTCTGCAGTTTAAAGCCTATTAAAATGCACCCTTGGGTGAGGCACGCATAGGCTGTCTCTTCTGCTATACACCAATGGAGCTCCAGCTTGAAATAATCTTGTTACTGCGAGAGTAGAGCGTAGATTAATAGCAGCGTTACAGCACGACTTATCCAGATTTATCATGGCGTTAAGACTCAATCTATAAAAGCGGCTCAGAGCGACTGACGACTCCATGATACTGGCATACGTGGCTCACATTTGATGCCTCGGCGGCGTATCAGCTGAGGCGTTTATTCTCGATCAATTTGAAGGCTCATTTCCTGAGCTCTCATCAGGCAATGCAACCACAAATTCAGTTTGCTCAAGGTGTAGA